AAAGTGCTGGGATTACAGGCTTGAGCCACCGCGCCCGGCCAGATAAAGAAATAGGAATGTGCAGGCAGTTTGTAAGGTTTTAGACTACTGAAGTAGTTTATGGACTACAGAACTTGGAGAAACATTGTTTTAAAGAATAACAGTATATCTATTGGTTTACTAACTGTTAGACTTTTGACCTATTACAAAAACTAATTAAAACAAAACTAAATCCACCTTAAAAACTCTGGCAAGTCCAAAATCTGCTACTTTGTAGATATTATGTTCACCAACAAGGACATTTCTGGCAGCCAGATCTCTGTGAATGTAGTTCCGAGACTCCAGATAGGCCATTCCAGAGGCAACCTGTGCCGCTATGTCTACCTGTTGAGTCAGATGGATTTTTGACCCAGCATCACCTAAGCAAAAAGAGAAAAGTAAGAAAGTTACTTCAGAGAACATTTGAACTATTAAAGTGAATTCTGAGAATTTTGAATGAATGAGCTATCAGTGAGATTAAGTACAATGACACTGATATGTTGAGCTCTCTCTCTCTCTCCATATATATATATATCTTTAACACAACTTAGTTTGCTGTGAAAGGTTAATAAGGCAACAATTTTTTCAGAGTCCAAACATATTCCAAGGTCCTCTCTTCCTCAAATGAGTATTACAAGTAACAAGTCATCACATGATTCAAACATGGCTACAATTATCTGAGACTGTGGCTATTTTGCCTTTTTTCTTTTTTTTAAATTTTATTTATCTTTTATTTTAAGTTCAGGGGTACATTTCCAGGTTTGTTATATAGGTAAACTTGTGTCATGGGGGATTACTGCACAGATTATTTCATCATCCGGGTATTAAGCTTAGTACTCATTAGTTATTTTTCCTGATCTTTTCCTTCCTCCCCACCTTTACCCTCTCATAAGACCCAATATGTGTTGTTCCCTTCTGTGTGGGTGAACATAGCTCCCACTTATAAGTGAGAACATGTGGTATTTGGTTTTCTGATCCTGCACTAGTTGCTAAGGATAATGGCCTCCAGCTCCATCCATGTTGCTGCAAAGGACATGATTTCATTTTTTATGGCTGCATAGTATTCCATGGTATATACATACCACATTTTCTTTATCCATTCTACCACTGATGGGCATTTAGGTTAATTCCATGTCTTTGCCATTGTGAATGGTGCTGCAAGAAACATACATGTGTATGTGTCTTTATGATAAAACAATGTATATTCCTTTGGGTATATATCTAGTAATGGGATTGCTGGGTCAAATGGTAGGTCTGTTTTTAGATATTTGAGGAATCGCTGCACTGTCTTCCACAATGATTGAACTAATGTACACTCCTACCAACGGTATACAAACATTCCTTTCTCTCTACAACTTTGCCAGCATCTGTTATTTTTTGACTTTTTAATGGCCATTCTGGCTGGTGAGAGATGGTATCTCATTGTGGTTTTGATTTGCATTTGTCTAATCATAAGTGCTGTTGAGCATTTTTTTTTCACATGATTTCAATACCATATGTCACTAACTAATTTCTTCATGGAAATTATTACTTAACTGCTACTGAATTTCTTTCAAGCATTGCGTACTTTGTTTTAGTCATTGAGCCAATAAAACAATACTAACTTTTATGGCTGAACCAATGAAAAATTCTCATTCTTCCATCATGTTGTTTTTAAAAACTAGCTCACTAACACAAATGAAAGGTCTATCCATAGTTATAAAGTATGTATATTACATTTGTACCACCAAGATTGATACATTTTTTTTTTCTCTGCCTTAGTTTGTTATTCTTAGAATAGGTTGCTCATCTCTCCAGACATGGACATACCTTCAATAGGCAAAGTTTCTCCTACTGGGAATTCTTTATAACTAAGTATTAAAAAATTTATATAGTACAATCAGTTTGATTATTATTAGTAGAGGGGGGTCAGCATTATTTTGTGGTGACTGACTCTTTGTATTTGCATTTGACTTACCTATTTTGTATTTGTACACAAAATAATACTGACTCCTTCTACTTTGAAATGGGGTGAGTCATCCCTGGGTAGGATTTAGCTGCCATTGTGTTGACAGATGTTTTCAGATGTCTGGAGAATTAAAATAATATCACATCAACTCAAACTAATATTCCTCTTATATATCCCTGTCTGAATAAGCTGAATACTACACAAAGTCCATTAAACTCATGGTCAAAAGCATAGACATAAGCCCTGACTTAAGAGGCAGCTGTATGCATTACAGGGGTCAGAAAATCTGGTTTGAAGCTAGAGGGCCAGACTTTCAATCAAGGATATGCCTGGTATTTCTTTGTGACCTTGGCAAGCATCTTAACATTCCTATGCGTCAGTTTCCTCATCTGTACAATGATAATAGTAACTGCTTCATAGTATTTCTTGTTAAAATGAAAATTAAAATGAATTAATTCATGTAAAGCACTTAAAGCAGTGCTTGGCACCTAGAAAGAACTCAGTAGATCCTATCTGTTATTATCATTCCTCCTATCTAATCAAGCTAAAACATAGAATTTGCTAAGTTAGAGATACATATGAATTACCCATGTGGAAATGACTGAAGGAAGACAAGCAATGGGTCTGGAACTCAGGGGAGAATATGCAGCAAGAGATATTGATTTAACAATCATAAGTTATAAGTGGGAGTTAAAACAGTAAAAGTGGGTGAGATTGCTAGGAAATGACAGAGAAACACCAATATTGAAGGTGGGCAGAGGAAGATAAACCTGTAAGAAAACTGTGAAGAATCAGCCAAAAGAATATGAGAAGAAAACCACTAGAGAAACTTGTAACATGTCAAAGGTTTTGAGAAAGAGAAAATGCCATCATAGTCAAATTCCACAAATAAGTCCATGAAGAAAAGGACTAAGACATTTGTCGAATATAATAAGGGAGTCCCTGGTGATCTTGGGGATAGGAAGAACAGTTTGACTGGAGATCAGGTGGGTATAAGGATTTGAGGGCTAAATACGAGTGAAGGACATAGAGACAGAAGAAAGAGGTGGCAAATTCCAAAATCCTAATCAAGAAGGAAAACAAGAAGGTTCTGGTAGAGGTAAACATAAAATAATGGGAAAGCAATTATCATAAAATTTGGGATAGTGAGAGGTTGTAATTGATAAAGTATTCAGGGGGTTTCTAGGGTGCTGGCCACATTCTAATGCTTGATCTGGGCAGTGACTGAATGGTTGCTTATTTGTTTGCTTTACAATTACATGTTAAATGATATTATATGATTATGTGTTTTCTACATATATGCTATTTTTAATAAAAAATGAAATAAATAGAGCCAAAAGAATTTTTAAGGGAAACACTTAAGCAGTGTGTGTGTGTACATATATATTTACTTTTTAAGGCAAGTAGCATATCTCAATAAGTTGTGAGGTGAAATTAACTGCTTACCAATCCTTTCGTCCTTTCTTTTATCCCTCAGCACAGACAGAAGATTACATTTCCCATCTTCCCTTAGAGTTAAGTTGAGCCCTGTCACTAGTTCTGGGCAATGCAATGTGTGCAGAAATGATGAACATCACTCACAAGCCTCGCTGTTAAAATCTCCCACATCTTTATGGCTAGCGGGATGCATTTCAAAATGGTAGAGCCACATGAGTCTAAATCCCTGTATTATCCTTTAGAGAAAGTCACCTAGCAGAGCAGTCTGGCCCATATAAAAAAAAAAAAAACCTATTGTTTTGTATAAGTCATAGAGAGTTTTGAATTCTATATTATAGCAGATGACATTATGCAGTCTAATACAAGATATAAGCATGAAAATAAATTATAACTTAGTATGCAGCATAATGGCAAAACATTGCTGCTACGATAGCCAAAATAGCTAGGCCTTTTGATATCAAATTCACTCAATAAGAAAAGAAATGTATGGAAATTAAGACAAGCTGGTTACTAACCGTGAGTTATGTGGTATCTTCTAAAATGGCTCCCAGTTATCTGTACCTCCTGATATTCAAGCCTTTGTGAAAGCCTCTTCTACTAATTGTGGCCTGGACCTAGTGACTCATGTTTAACAACAGAATATGGCAGAAGTAGGTGGGATATCACTTCCAAGATTAAATTAGAAAAGGCTGTGACTTTGCCTTACAGATAATCTCCACCCTGTTGTTCTCTCGCTTGCTCACTCTAATAAAGCAATCTGCTATGTTGCAAGCTGCCCAATGGAAAGGTCCCTGTAGCAGGCAGCAAAGGGCATCTTGCAGCCAACAACCAGAAAGGAACTGATTTCCTCAGTCCAACAGCCCAAGAGAAAACGACTCCTGCCAAGAGTTAAATGAGTGAGTTTAGAAGTGGATTTACCTCCATCAGAGCCTTCAGATGACTGGGTACTTGCCAACACCCTGACTGCAGCCTTGTAAGAGGCCCTGAACTAGGAGACCCAGTGAAGCTACGCCTAGATTCCTAACCACAGAAACTGTGAGATAATAAACATTTGCTGCTTTAAGCTACTAAGTTTTGTGGTACTGTTTTGTGCAGCAATAGACAACTAATACAGATTGATGTTACGAATATAACATCAGTGCTATGAATATAGTTAAAAACATGAACTATGAAGCCAAACTTCCGACTTGGATGAGTTACCTAATCTCTCCATACCTGTTTCTTCAACTGTAAAGTGGGACTACTAATACTTACCTCATAAGGTGGTTAGATAAATGAATGAAGCTCCCTTGTAAGTTGTATTCCTAGGAATTTTATTCTCTTTGTAGCAATTGTGAATGGGAGTTTGCTCATGATTTGGCTCTCTATTTGTCTATTACTGGTGTATAGGAATGCTTGTGATTTTTGCACATTGATTTTGTATCCTGAGACTTTGCTGAAGTTGTTTATCAGCTTAAGGAGTTTTTGGGCTGAGACAATGGGGTTTTCTAAATATACAATCATGTCATCTGCAAACAGAGATAATACGACTTCCTCTCTTCCTATTTGAATACTCTTTATTTCTTTCTCTTGCCTGATTGTGCTGGCCAGAACTTCCAATACTATGTGGAATAGGAGTGGTGAGAGAGGGCAGCCTTGTCTTGTGCCAGTTTTCAAAGGTAATGCTTCCAGCTTTTGCCCATTCAGTATGATATTGCCTGTGGGTTTGTCAGAAACAACTCTTATTATTTTGACATATGTTCTGTCAATACCTAGTTTATTGAGTGTTAAGGACCTCTTTAAAGAGAACTACAAACCACTGCTCAAGGAAATAAGAGAGGACACAGACAAATGGAAAAATATTCCATGCTCATGGATAGAAAGAATCAATATTGTGAAAATGGCCATACTGCCCAAGGTAATTTGTAGATTCAATGCTATTGCCATCAAGCTACCATTGACTTTCTTCACAGAATTAGAAAAAACTACTTTAAATTTCATATGGAACCAAAAAAG